TTTCACTTTAATCGACTGATTAGGTGCTGAGATAGCATTTTAGGCCACGTCCGCCATCTTGGATTTTCGAATTTTGAAAATTCGACTAAAAATTCGAGTTTCCCATTCAAAAATACCCCCCGGGTACCAAGTTTTGCGTGAATCGATCGATTAGGCGCTGAGATAGCATTTTAGGCCATGTCCGCCATCTTGGATTTTCGAATTTTCAAAATTCGACTTAAAATTCGAGTTCCCCATTGACAAATACCTCCGAGTACCAAGTTCCACTTAAATCGGTCGAAAAGAGCGCCTACAGGGCTTAAATAAACAAGTCTCAGTTGATTAGGCGCTGCGATAGCATTTTAGGTCATGTCCGCCATCTTGGATTTTCGAATTTTCAAAATTCGACTAAAAATTCGAGTTCCCCATTGAAAACTACCCCTGGGTACCAAGTTTCACTTAAATCGGTAGAAAAGAGCGCCTACAGGGCTTAAACAAGCAAGTCTCAGTTGTAACAGTTTTCCACTCTGTCCCACTAAACTGGGACATGGGACAGGATGGAAACATATGGGACAGGATGGAACGGGACAAGATGGAACGGGACAGGATGGAATAAGCTGTTTTTTAAGCTTATCTCTAACAGTAAAGACAATTTTGGTGTTTTTTTTTCACGGAATATTTAGTAGCACATCCTAGAGGATCGGAATAAGAGAAAATTTTTCCTGACGCACACTTCGAAAGTATTTTACTTGCTGATATTAGTGTGTGTGTGTGTATGCTTGACGTTCTGTTAGTTATCGTGTATAGCAATCTGTTTGGCATCATTAATGGCGTTAATCTTGCAGAAAAATTGGCGAATTTCAGAATTTTTGCCATCTACGACGTGTGAACTATTCAATCAAAACAAAAAAAGTCGTTTTTGGAAAAACCTCAACGTTTTGGCAATCATTTAGAGCTTATTACATCGTTGCCATGTCTCTCCTGACTGTTGCTGACTGTTGCTCGGGACAATGATTCTAGCGCGTGAAAAAGTTATTGATGGAGCAAAAAATAAATTGACATATTTTTTTTCTCAAATTCAAAAGCATTACCTATCATCTCCGATAAAGTTTTCTTAAATAATCACTCTAGTCATGCTGCAACATCGATTTAAAGTCAAGAACCAGGCACGGGGCGGACACGCAAATTTGGGACAAATGTAGGCAATTTGCACATTCAAAGTTCTCCTAAATTTTTATTTCAGTCCAAATAAAGTGGGAAATAGCATGTAATAGTCAGCAATAGTGTGGAAAATGAGAAAAAAATTTGATCTGCCCATATTTCTCAGATTATGACGATTAAAACAGCTCGGGACACCAAATTAGACGCTTATTTGAACTCACCCACCTACCCAACCCATACTACCCCTTCTCATACAGAGCTCTCACTGTACCCTTATTTTCCATTCCGGCTTTTTTACCACTTGGTCTTCCGACCATTTACAGTTATCCGATCAGCGACTTTGCGATACGTTCTTTTGTTGTTTGTATGGCTTAGCTAGGTTTTCTTTTTTTTTCTCTTAGTTATATGATTCCAGTTTCAGTGATTCGAGAAGCACTCTTCAAAAAAAGTTTTTCTCTCTTATGGTAAAGTATCATAACTAATAACCTCAATAAGCCTGAACATGTTATTCTCAGTGAATCATTGTTTGTAAACATGTTTTTTTTTTCATGGTAAAGTATCATTATCATTGACTTCCTCAATAATCCTGAGCATATATAATTATATTATTTTTACATTTCATCTCCTTATCATTCCCTCAATAAATGTTTATAATAATGTTTTTTTATTGTAAAGTATCATTATTATTGACCTCCTCAATAATTCTTGTCATATATTATAAAGTTTATGTTACATCTCTTTTCATAGTTCGGAAAATAGCTTTTGTCTGTCGATACGATATAGTCTCTAAATGTGCTCACTCTATTTAGATTAATATACCCCCAAGACGAGGGATCTGTGAAACGGACCTTAAAGGGCGCCAGGCACCCTCGCGGGCTTACTTATTTTTGAAATTTTGGGCGTATGGGAAATGTATATCTATTCCTACCTGAGGCCTATTTTTTTGTATTGAACCGAGCAATTGGATAAGTTGAGGGAGTTTTGAAAGAACTTATGAGGATCTTGGAGGACAAAGAACATGCATAAGTGCAGTTTTTGAAAACATTGATGTATTAATGATATCAAATAAAACTAGTCTTCACAAAATATAATATGAGAAAAATTCACTGCCAAATTCCAATTTTTAAGCATTAAAAAGTTAGAGACGACATATAAGGCTACGAGTTCCGAAGTGTACGCACAATGTCCATTTTGGTCGAAATTTCGAGTTAGGGGTGGATTCTTGATCAGCCATTCATTGAAAAAATAATATGTTGTTCCAGCACCTAAGATGTCAAAAATGTGTCTGGTGATCCCAAGACACTACCTTTACTGCCCTCGCAGTTAACTTTACATCCTGTGAATGTAAATTCAACTACGCGGGCAATCGATGCTGCATCTCAGAATCTCCAGACACGTTTTTGATATCCTAGGCGGTAAAACGGCATACCATTTTTTTCAGCGAGGACTCGAGGAGAATCGGAGAATAATTGTATCAGTGCGAACGAAAACACACCAACTCGGAAAAATGAAAATAATCCAGACACACACAAAACTGCACAGTAGGTGAAGAAGTTACTTTAAGAAAAATATTTTTGCTGCCGAAAGACAAGTACCAACTTATGGACACTTTAAAGGTCCAAGTTGGAACAGATGCGCTAACTTCAACGATCTTTATATAAATTAACTGTCTTTAATGGGAATTGAGCATTTTCGAGTTACCGAGTTGATGTGTTCGTTCTCAATGATTCAATTTAAATGTGTGCCAAATCAGCCAAAATCCTTTTTAATTAGCAGTATTGAAAAGGGAGGTTGCAGCATAACGTACAGTAATCAAAACAGTTTTATGCGTTGTGACAAGCCACTTTTATGGGCATTGTACACTTTGAAACTAGTAGCCTCACATCCATCGCCTTGGATTTTTGAATTTCAAAAATTTTGGTTGAAATTCAAGACTCCCTTCAAACAGTGCCACCTGGTACCAAGTCTCACAAAACCGAAAAAGAGCCACATATTGAAGAATCAGTATGTAGGACGCTGCACAGTGGTAAACGATATGTCAGTGGTCTTGCGTGCATCAAAGCGCCTTCATTTCCGTCTGATACTGTGCAACACTTCTGTGGCGGAATAGTTGCTCAGAGCGCCTTCTCCGGTATCGCCTCGACTTGATGGCAGAAGATCACGATTACCGCTGAAATCACATTCTCGCACGTGCGCAATGGCACATTTCCTCATCACCGGCGTTGAGTTAAGAAAGCATTCATACCTCAATTTTGCGTCGTTGCGAGTTTTTCACTGCATATTTTAATTAATGTGTGTAAAGCAATATGAACTCTCCAAAATCTGCTGATATTTTTCCGAGGCACGATGAAAAATATAATGTTAATGTTTCATTCAAGTCCGCTTGTGAGCTATAGTTAAGAAGGGAGGGGGGAAGGAGTATGAATAGAAACCTTCGAATGAACAAAAACAGTTCTGAAATGTTTGGCCCTTGAAGTAAACGGGTCCGAAGTTTTGAAAAAAAACGACGAAACAAACCGACTGACATCCGGTGTTGTTATCAGCTGGCTTTTGCGTCTATAATGTAAAGTTTTTGAACTTTGGTTACATTCCTCCAAATGATTAAAGAAAATAAAAAATAAAGGAATAAAAAAAATAAATGCACAAACTAATAAATAAATGAGCAGTTTCAATTTTTTGCGCGCATACATAAGAGGGCGCTAAATCATTAGCTAAGGGTGGCTACCTACATCCATTATTTTGAAACTGGATAGATCGAAAAAGAATAGATATTTCGGGTGCAAAATTGGATACTTTCAAATGCGCCAGGCTAGTAAGACCACTTCCATCGTCGTGGATTTTCAAATTTCGAAAATTAGATTTTGAAATTAAAGTTTCCCGTCAAGAAATGTCATCTGCTACCTACCTCCAAAAAAATTGATCGAACAGGTGCCGCATACTGTACCTAGAATCAGTAGAACTCTGCACAGTGGTAAAAGATATCAGTAAATTTACGTATAGCCCGTTTCAGAGCATTTTTTCTCTTTCGCAACTTTCGCTGTGAGCGCAGGATAGGGATTCTTGCGCATACAACGAGAGAGGAAAAATAATCTGAAGTGGGCTACACGTTGGTGCGCCTTCATTTCCACTTGATACCTACTGTGCAACCTTTGCGGCGAAACAGTTGCTCAGAGCGCCTGCAACCTGCCATAGTATCGTTTCGACTTGATTGCAATGATCAAAATTACCACTGAATCTAGAAAGAGGGCCCAATCGTATTTTCTCAACTTTCGCTTCGTTTGATTTTCTTTTTTTTTNTGGGGGGGGGGGGGGTCAGTCTCGAGAATACTCTTTGAAAAATTTCTGGTAAAAATGTCAAGCGGTGTGATTTTTATAATAAAACTAATACCTAGCTGAAATATGTACTGCAAATAGTAAGTACCCGTTGTGCGGTAGTTTTACAATCGAATTAGTCCTTTTGACTGTTTTGACTGATAGGCATACCTATTTCAAATTTTACCGCCGGAAAAATTGAAGTGACTAAACGTTTTGACCGCACCTGTCAACACCGCCAACGGCTAAATCATAACAAAGCAACAAGTGGAGAAGTCCGTGGATCGTGCCAAGACCTCGGTTTATTGCAATTTGTGCTTTAATTTTGACTTATTATCGTGTTAGTTTTCGTTTTTCGATCGAATGGCTACCGCAGTTCTCATCGTTTCTTCTGTGTGCCGATAAAACCATGTTTCAGTCGCTCGTATATTTGCAGTTATTGATCCCTCAAACCTGTTTGCTTAAAAGGAGGTTAGATTCTGCAACACTCCTCTTCGGTTAGAAATTAGGAAATTTCGTAAACATTTTAATCAAAGGAGAATCTTCTCAAAATGCCACCAACATTTTCTCAAAACTCTGCCGTCGATGGTTTGCCCAAGCAGTTTGTCATCGCTATGCGCACCCTCTTTGATATCATGGACGATAAACATGTTGGCTACGTCAAATTTTCAGGTAATTACCCACTGCAGGTTCTATGATCTAGAAAAATTATTTCTCACAATTGATAAACTAGCTTTCTGAATAAGTAGCAATATCCTTGAGCTTTTTCACCAATCTAATGAAATGAGGCTGCAAAGTGCAACACCAAAGTGTCCCAGTTGCATGCCTGTAAAAAGTAGACGAATTGGAACAATGAATGCATCTATTATTTGAAATTATAAGGGTTCTAGACCAAAAGCAAGGAAGCATTAACTAATAAAAAGTAACTGAAAATGAATCATACGTAAGAAAGGTGATTAGTTTTTAGGTGAAAATATACAATTCAAAGTTCATGTTCAACAGACAATGAGAGTGTTGATTCATGAAACAGGACTTACTTGGTAAATCTTGCATGTAAGGAGTTTAAAGTGTAACTACTTTGATTAGGCTAACAATATTTCTTGCATTTTATGCTTTTGTTAGTCATCGTGTCATTAGATAATTGACAAAGAGCTGCTTTACTTTCAAGTGTCTCGGTTGAGGAGAGTTAAGTGTGGGCGAAGAAATCAGGCCTGTCGAGAGAGTGCCGCCGGTTTTGCTCTTATTAGAGCACATCATGCATAAGTACATAGCCAAACAGTCTTGATTTGAAGCATGTTCACTCTGCGATGCCATGCAACGTGAAGTGCCATACTTCGGCAAGAGACTGGTGGTCAGTGCGCCTGCCGCCCTCTGCCGTGAACCGAGACACTCCAAAGTTAAGCAGTGCTATACCAAAAAATCGTGAGATGGCAGAAAAAGTTAAAAAGATTGTTAAGAATGTACAGCCGTAACAGAAATTTATTCTTGGCTTGCTCAGCCCTGATTTGTTTGCTCTTTTATTTTCAGAGATTGAACGAAGATGGCAAGATGATGGGACAAAAGGCTTACCTCCAGGTGTGTTAGAAAGTCTAAGAAAAGTCACTCCTGTAAATGGTCTTCTGACTTTTGAGAGGTTTTGTGCTGGCTTAAAAATATGCCTTCTGAAGAACCAGGTTGAAGGCAGGAATCAACAACACGACCTGAATCATATGTCAAAATTGAACCGACCTCCGTCAGCACCTATTCTTGACTTAGATAGCAACAAATTAAAATGGGAGTCTTCAAGCTCTGCAAATCTTGCACCTAGTGTTTTTCCTACACAGCGAACATCAAGTATGCCTCAGCTGCCCGGTGAACCTCCCATTGGTATCCCTATTATCAAACCGCCATTGTACGGCCCGCCAAAACCACCAAGAACGGCAGTAGGATTAGAAAGAGGAATGCAGCTTGCCGGAACTACCGACAGAGTAATGGATAAAGCTGAAATTAGAACTGTATTACAAAATTGGCAACTGGGACTAATGATGAATGAGGAAGATAAAAGACTTGATTATAATGCTCGAACACGAAGTGTTGGAGATGGAAAACCAACCAGTAAGTTATTTCCGAAGTTTTAAAATATCCAATGCAAGCAGAAAGTAAATATTCAGGGTCAGAATATGATGGGTGTTAGAGTGAATCATTTTTCTTAGTATGGAATCCCCCTCATCTACAATTAAATTCATCACTCTCAAAAAACTAGGAATTGGATTATCTCAAACCCGATCGTGTGGCAAAAAAATAGCATTAAAACAAATAAGTTACTTAAACTTACCTATCAGCATTGCCAAGTAAATAAAATATTCTAAACAAGTATTCATTGTGATATTACTAAAACGTTTACGTATTTTTTTTGTAGTATTTCCAAATCTCAGTTCTCATTTTATCTCATGAAAACAAAGAAATCAACACTAATGCTTGAAATTTTCACAGAATGTTTTTAAGTAATACAGAAAAAAAAAACCAGGAAAGTTTTTTTTAGAGATGATGCTGAGTATTGTGCCGTTATAAAAATAAATTATGTTAAGAAGTCTGGTGCATCCGAAACCAACGCGTGTGTTTTCTTGTAGTTTTACCATCGATATATTAAATATATTACCTAATATATTATTGTTGAGCAATATATAAGAAAACGAATTAAAGTGTTATGAATTGGTAATTTAATCATCTGTGTGCAAGTAAACTAAAATGTGCTACTAAAATTCCTTAAGCTCTGTATATAGAATACCTTCAAATGAGAAAAATTCTAGGAGGTTACAGTATCAGTAGATATTCAACTAAAGATGTGTTGCTCAGTGGCATGGCAGACTTTGCAATATATGGATGGATCTACCATTTAAACCCATGGAAAAGTATCGATAAACAGGGTGTTTGCAGCAAATGCCTTAAAAATCGATTCTTTACCACATCTTCCATTCGGGAAATATCGATAATTGATCATTCATGCCTCGCCACTGGTGTTGTTATCATAAATTAGAGCTAGATTAGTAGGCATCTTTCAGTTTTCTCTGAATTGTCTTTTCAGTAATAATCCTCCACTTTTCTTTTTTTCGCATAGCCTTACCAGCTGAAGTGCCAATCACGTCTCAACAGCACAAGAAACAAAGTGGAAGACGGAAAGAGCCACGCAGACATACTCTTCAGAATGGAATAGATTACAATATGGTGAGGTTTTTCCCCTTTTCTACAAAACGAAAGTATAATTATACCTACTATGTCTGGAGGGCATGTTTCTGAATTTCTGTCATGAGTCTGTCAAGTTTTAAATTCATGCCTTGATATTATAGAATATCTGACAAGGTCTACAATTCCTCATTTCGTAAAATGGACTTATTTTGACGATTCAATTTTTTTTCTTGTACCTTCAAGAATGCCAACTCCATGTGCATCTGTGTCACCTATTTAATCTTATTGATAATTTTTATGCTCCTGTACTTTCAGTTGAAACGTATGAAGCAGATAGAGCAAGAAAGAGACGTGTTGATGCAAGGCTTACGAGCTGTAGAGCAAGCTCGTGACTGGTATTTGAAACAAATTGTTGCAGTCCAAGAAAAGATGAAATACCTTGGTCGAGTAAGTTCGTTGTCCATTACTTTCTTTTCCCTTCAAATATCCTAGCCAGTCAAGTTTTTATTGATCAATGCTAGACAAGGCAGGGCTTCACCATTGTTATCAAATTTTTCTGGCTCATCTCTGAAGCCTTTTAACAACTTGCTTGAGCTGTTCAGTGAGTCAAATGCTTCAATTAGAATGCGAGAGATCCTAGTTCTCTGCATTTTTCTTTTCTTTTTCCCAGGCAGACCTGATTTTGTGCAGTTTAGTTTACTGTCGGACAAATTTTCCTCAAAAAGTATAATGATCAGTCTAAACCCCATCAGAATGGCTGAAGAAATGTTATGAAGCAAGTCCTGTCCGTTACAGGTTAACCCTAATTAAAAAAAGCAAAGTGGGGAGGTGTACATTCTATGGATTTAAACAAGACTAACTGGTAAAAAATTGTTCGTAAAGTCTCTTCTCTAGGTTGGATTGCTGATAAAATCTCTGAACTGTTCAATTTAATTCTTCTGTATTGTTTAAGCTACCCATTCTAAGAAATTGCTGAAATTCTTATAATCTTTGTATCACAGGAGCAGTGGAGCGAAGCTCAACAAGAACGAATTGAGCTGCAAACAGCACGCGTCTTAGAAGTGAATAGGCACTTGGCAGCGCTAACAGATGGATCAGGGCTCCCAATTCATATGAATTTAGCTTATCCTGCCACACCACATCTGCTCAATCGGCTCAAGCATCAAAACAACTTGTTAAACGAGGTATGTCAATTGGTATCCATCACTAACTTCCGGTTTTTTAAGGTTTCCTTTTTCAGAATCTCTGTTTTATAATTCCATTCTTTTCAAGTGCAAAACATATTCTGGTACCCCGTATTGATAGTAGAAAAGTATTGCTTAGCACAGGTTAATTAATACAGGATTGACTCTCAATCATTAAAATGTTTACTTGAACCTTTAAGCATTATTTCTCAGCAAATTCTCACCATTTACCTTTTTCAACTTCCTGGATCACTGAAATTTTTGTAACTAAATACTAACTACCTATTTGTAATTTCTTGGGAGGGGGGGTTTGTCCATTAACACATGAGGAACCAAGAATCTGTGTCCTGCAGGTGCTATAATAAGACAAAATTTTATACCAAATATCTTCACTCTCAGTGTGAACCTCACAAGAAGTGTACAAAATTTTGTGTGAGGAAAAAATTTGCCAGTGGTACCCCTAATTTCAACTCATTTTTCAAAAAGTTTGGAGTGAGCCAAAACTCCTGAGAATTTGTTCAGATTTTTTTTTTTTTTTTTACCGTAAATGGCAAAGCAACCCTGCATTGAAATTTCCAAAAACGGGACCTGTTTGGAACTATATTTTTGGCAGGCTCTGATGACATAGCCATGCGAGGGAAACGGTATTTACTGATTGGCAGTATTTGCCTTGCTACATCAACTCGGCTATCGGCTTTTAATTGGTCAGAGGATTTATATTAATTCTCTCTCCCTGTAGAAATGGTATTTTGAACTTTTTAATGAACTTATTGGTTCTCCACAAAATTTTATGCAAGTAAACTATGTAACAACCCTGCAAGAATTCCTTGCCATTGCTTCATTACAAAATACTCTTTGAAAATGGTTAAATTGTTCTTGCAGTGCAAACATTTTCTTAATTCGTCCATTTGTACTTTTTCAGGAAGTAACTCAGAAAAGTGAACGTATTACTCTTTTAGAAAGGGAGAAAGCATCATTAATTCGAGAACTTTTTCAAGTGCGGAGTCAATCTAGAAGAAGTGATGTTCCATCTGATCAGGTTGGATTTATGTAAAATTAAAATCTGCCTGCCATAGTGAATTTTAGATTAATTTTCTCGTAACTATACCGTCCTTTATGTCTAATAATTGCTAGTATTAATTTTCTTGCAATTATGCCGTCCATAATGTCTTCTAATCGTCAGCAATGATTTTTTCAGCTTTTATTTTTTTTCTTTTTGTGAATTACTCCTTTAAGTAATCTTATAAAGCCCATCATGATCATTGCATATTTTACTCTTGAATATAAGAGAATATCCTGTTAGGCCTTTATCATACTGATGTAAGCTACTGTCTTTTGAACTAATAGAGTAGTTTGTCTTAAAATTTGAAAGCTATTGAAGAAGCAAGAAAAAAATCAACAGGGTGCTAAGAGGTGTAAAAGAATTTAAATTAATTTAAATCAGTCAGTTCTGTATAGAGGTCATCTCGATAATAAAGGTCTAGATTTTTATTTTTCAAGAAAGTAGATTTCGTTCTTTTTTAAATTTTATCAATCTCGGAATGATTTCAATTGCTGACCTGCTGATTTTACTTTTTCCGCTCAAAAAATCTTGCATCTGCGTCTTCCGTCCATTTTACTTCATTCCTCAAAACGCTTTTTATTTTGTTACTTCGTATAAGAAAATTTAACATTAATGGGTGCTATGAAATGTGTACTTAATTATTTTTTATATTTTATTCTAATAGATTGAGACTAAATTATCAATCTAATGTGATTCATCTAGCCATTCACCCAGTGAAACTGGCTAGTTTGTGCTGTGTTTTTTAAATGAATTTTTCTTTACCTTGTTTACTTAAAATTTGACCTAGAAGTTAAGTAGAAAATTGAATCAGAATATTATTCCACCAATGATGGCACTACATACATATTTACTTTAAGACTGATTAAGGTTCTGTTTAAGATTAGCAACACCATACAGTTATTTAATGATTTCCAACAGCTGAAAGTGGTAGACATCTCCATCACTGACAATTATCTCATTATTGTACGGACAGAACTAAGTAGAAACGCACGAAGTCACATTGTTTAAAAAAGAAGGAAAACAAAACAGAGTTGGGAGTACTTCTGAATTTGACTACATAGTTGTAACTTTTCTTTCTTTAAAATTTTTAAGTTGAGAAAATATATTTTGAACATGGAAATAGTCATTGAATTTGTCCTCAACATTTAGTCTTATGGAGGAGTGAAATTTTAAACCGTTTTTCCCGTTTCAAACTTAATGCGAGTTTGTGCGTTTTTGTTAAAATCTATTCGTATCAATGTACCTCAAATAGTATGTAATAGTTGAGGACCCGAAGTGATAACATCATCAGCATTTTAAACAAATTATTTATTTGTGTTGGCAGTTGATGTAAACATTTTTCATTAAATCTAGACAAAATACTTATCTGTATGTACCATGTACCTTACTGGTGTTAATATTTCCTTTGAATATGAAATTTTTGAGACACGTAAACGAGCGGCATATTTTCATCTCTATTTCATGGGCAATCTCAAAGCCAGGATCGCCCAGTTGTGGATGTAAAAAACTATGACTCTCTACATAAGAAAGTATAATTCAGATTTCCACTATGATGAAAAAAAAAGAAAATCAAAAACGTAAATTGAAGATGTACAGCTAATTTAATACAATAGGGCTGTCAGTAGGAACATTATACAATTTTCATCCAACATGATGAATTTGCCTGGAATGAGTTGATTCATTTTTGGTTAAGAATAGGATATTCCTGGGGTTTAAGGAGCAGTGATCCCTTATTTTTGTCATTTCTTGAAGTTTTTAATTAATTCTTCGTTTCCTTTGGTTTTTAACCAACCAATTGAGATGGAAAAATTTCTTCAGGCCCAAATTTTGTTGGTCATAGCCACTCATGAATAATGAGTCAGTTGCACTAATTGCAGAATCGTGTTTTGATAGTTAAAATAGATCTGATAGACAAGGAATAAATAATAAACTGTGTCAGAACACCAAGTTTCTATGTCCAATATCAACGAGAATATTGCTCATCAAAAAACACGATGTATGACATCATTGACCGTGGTAGTGCGTACCATAGTTTTCTCCGCCTTAGTTTCATCACCAAGTGAAACACATTCGTATCAGTTGCCCAACGTAAAGCACGGGTGAAACTAAGGTGAATGGAACTATGGCATGCACTGTCACGGTAGATGATGTCGTACCTTGTGTTCTTTGATGAGGAGCATATCTGTTAATATTAGACGTAGAAACTTGGCATTTCAACAAAGCTCATTATTTCTAGCCAATCTATTATGCTTAAAGTACCAAAACACAACTCCATTGCTAGTACAATGCACCCAACAGACAATAGCATCAAGTCAGCAGAATCCTTCAAGGTAGGAAACTTATTTTTAAGTTTATTGTCAGTTTGAACCATCCACGACCTTTAATAGGTACTTTGTAAAATTTGACCCCCTAACATCAAGTTTTTACAGATCACAGAAAATATACGATAATTTTTACAAATTTTTTTCTTGTTGAAGTAGTATTGAAGATGAGGTACTTTTAAAGTCAGGAATACTTAGAACTACCAGTATACATGTTATATTGGATCGTGGATCTGAATGATTCAGTCATTCTTGTAATGCTTTGTTCAGTGTTCGAAACTCATCTTTGAGTTTCAGGAGCCACGTGGCTCATCAAGCTCAATTTTTAGGGGCCATTGAAGATTTTTTAGGGGCCAAATTGACTTTTTGACTAAGTATCACGGCGCATTTAGTGAAAAATTAGACGCAAGATATATAGTTATAGAACAAGTAGCTGTAACTTCCGAGAAATTTCGAAAAATCACTAAACAGAAAAATTAGGATTTTTTTTCTGGTGGGAGGGGGGGGGAGGGCAATACTTAGGGGCTACATTGGTGCAGAGCCTTCTTTTTTTAGGCGCCATGACCGATTTCTTAGGCGCATTTGGCTTGTTGGCGCCTGTGAGTTTCGAACACTGGCTTTGTTTGTTGTTGGGCCAATTTTACAACTATTGACTTTCAATTTGTCGAGAACCTTTGGTGTGGTACAAAATGTCTACTTTTTTACTGAATACGCACAGGTATTTTTTCAACGCTGTAATAAAATTCATTAACCATTCTTCTTTTTTGATATGAGGTGCTTTGGAAAGAGTTTCCAAATTGATTTTTTGCTTTTACTCATGCTCATCAATCATTACATAATCTCTCTAGACCCTGTTTTATGTAGACATGATTTAAATGATTTCTTGCCGTTGTCGTTCGTAAGGCATAGTAGTTTTTTGCCTTATTTTTTTCAGTCGATAGTGTACTTTTTGATGTGATGCAAATAGTGAAATATTTATTTATCAGAACATTTCTCAATTTATGCTTGCCCCATAAAGTGTTACTTTGTGAGAATCTTATTATTCATTTTTGTGTACTTTTTCTGCATGAATCTGACTACAAATTAATTTTCTTGTGCAACTTGGCCCACTTTGTTGAAACTAGGATCATAATTGCAGTTGAAACCTGAAATTGCTAATTCCCCTTACTTTATGATTATTTATACCTGTTTTATTAGAGCTTTTCTTGTACTCCCCGCAAGCTGTTGAAGAAAATAACAATAGTCTTATGAATAAACTTAATTTGAATAACATGAACTTGAATTTCCTCTATAATTCATCCTAAAACACGTAAAATCCCTGTTGATTGGATGATTTTTAGAACCAATCAGTCTCTCAAGTGAAAAGAGGGAGCCAATTAAATTCAATCCATGCCTGTCGATACTGATAATGAGTTTTCCCACCAGCTGTTACGCCTCTAAACACAGGTCTCAAGACCTACTTTTTTGCAGTGCCTCCAAATTGTGTCAGTTTATTTTTATTTATTTTTTTAATTTTTTTCTAACCTTAAATGTATAACCACAAATAACAAGATGGATAGAAAAATAAAACGAATTTTTTTACTCCTGGAGAGGAAAGTGTTGCTTATCCCTAAAGTTCAGAAAAAAAGAAAAATCATTAGTTTTCCAAGAAATGCAACGTGTTAATATGGTTCTACGCATTAGAGATCTTATGCGAAAAGGTCATTGAAGAAGAAACCGTTTCAAATGTGAATCTATGTGTTAGTTACCATGAAATGAAAGCTCATAGGAATTTAGCGTGCTGTGATGGCTAATTAATACACCTTCAATGGATTGGATAGGCACACCGAGCTCCTAGGAGGTCAAATAGTGGTATCACGCCGTACAGCACCTATCATTGATCATAAGAGTTTGTAGCATAAACCCTGTAGTGTTTCGGGTGGATTTTTAGCAGTTAGTTAAAGAATTATTTAACTTTAATGCATTAATTCGGCTAATTAATTTATTTGTTGGCTCTGGTATTCTTACATAATCCAGGGCTCATCAGCAAAATATTATTAGCTCCCTTTGCTATGCTACAAGATGCCTAGTTTTGAATCCCTAATTATTTTCGTTCATTGATACATGACTAGCGAAAAACATGGAAATTTTTATTTGCTGTCTGAGTTTTATCAGAGCCCATTAACAAAACAGTTATCAGGTAACAATTATATCATTTATTAAACTTAAATTTACACTTGTCACATATATTTACATTATAAAATCCTACTTACATTAAAAATTTCATCGAATTAAGTAATCATCTAAGTAAGAGCTTACAAACTAATTTTGGCCTCTGAAATTGACTTTTTTATCTTTCGTTGATCAATAATTTATTCTCGCACAATTTTTTTACATATTATATTCCTGGTACTCTTGGTATCATGTTGTTTTGTCTCCGAGTGCACTTAAGGGAATGTTCTCTTTCCGAAAGATTCAAATTTTGGTCTCTTTCAAGATGAAATCTGTGACGTTTTCATACAGCACAGACCGGACAAATCAACAAGAGATGAATTTTTCATTTACTATGACATTAGCAGTTGAAGGATGGTTTCATTTGATTCTTCATAGTTACATATTTTTTTTTGCATCTTTTAAAATATCAAGTTGTCATACTGCCAAACCAGGAAGCACTCATTCTGTGCATATAGTTGGCAGACAAAGCTGAAAAATCAGCACTTTCCCCTATTTAGTAAAATATCCTAATTTTGTCGCACAACCTAACAACCTGTCAATGTTGCCAGATTGTGCTGGGAAATCAGAAGTTTTCCCCCTTTTAAAACCATTATAAATATCCATATTTTATCACACAACCTGACAACCTTGACTCTGTCAGCCTTATAGATTTGGGAACTCGAATTTGCAAAGTGGCATAGCAAAAACCTGTTTCACTCGACTATCATTTTAAATGAAGTTTAAATAAAAAAATTCTATTTTATTTTTAGTTTTTTTTTTTTTTTGTTTTTTTATCTTACATACTTGGCTTATTATAAAATACCAAGAGTGCTCTTACATGGGTATAAATTGTGGTTGTTGGAGTGTGATTTCGTGAAACATACCGCTAGTTTGCGAGTTATGCAACTTTATTTTTTTTCCGAACCTTGTCTGTTCATTGTTAAAATGGACAAAAAATCACTCTTCTTCATTTTTGGATCCCAATAGGACTCGACTGCTTCATGCCTCTATTTGTATGACCATTTCAATGTTTTGCACTTCTTAAGTCCAAAGTATTAAGTGTTTCAATTCAAAATCTTGTCCATAGAATTTGTACAGCTGGTTTCATCATTCACATTAGGAAATTTTTTAATAATAACTGCTAGAAGAAGAAATGCTAGTTACGTGTCTTATAAGTAATGGACAGAAGTGTGATTAACTACACTTACCTACAATAATTGTATTTTGAAGACTTAGGCCAAAATATTTTCCTTTCAATTTTAGGTTTGAAAATGCAGAAGATTTTGAGTTGGAATAGTCAAAAAGTCATTTTATCATTTAAAATAGCACCTTTAGGAAAAAATTCTAGTACTTACATAAGTAATATTTACAATATCCATAATTAAACATCAGAGTGCCTTGTAGAACAGACGGTAAATACACATAAATTCACCTACGGCTAGCTAACATGAAGACAGTGTTCACTGAATTGATTCTCCGGCTTTAAATACATTACATTTGCTAGTTGGTACGCCTGTCATCCTTAATTTGCTGCTGCATAAACAAAAAAGAAAAGGATAATTAGTATATTTTGTCACTTAAGTCGCAAGTAGTAGGTAGTCTTAAAACTATTGCTTGGCTACTTTCAATCTACATCAATTTGGAGCTACCCTGTGAGTAGGTACAGGTTCATACTAGGCCCATTGCTGCCGTTAAAATTACTGAAAAAAGATCAGGTAGAAAGCAAAAGAAAGTAAAATTTCTCAGGGGGGAGGGGACAACCAAGGAAAGTTTCCAAAAGTTCGCGGAATGTTTCTATTCAGTTAGAAGTTTGAAAATTTAGTTATTCATTCTTTTCAACTTTTTCATTTTTCATCGGAGGAACAAATCATGATTCGGTGAGGAACGAGTAATGGGGGAAAAAAATTAAAAAATTCAGTCTTTTTTTCTATCCCAGTTTTTGAAAAAAAAAAAAAAAAAAAAAAAAAAATCTAATCCTAAATCCCATGGAGATTTAGTAAACGTATTTAAAAAGAAGATCGTGGCCAACACTTTCCTATATTAGAGCTTTATTCGGCTCTCATGAAGACTAGTAAAACCAAGATAAATAAATGATTCAAAAGTAAAAATGACTCCAAAGCACTCCTTTCACCAGAGCGAAGTAAAATACAGACCAGTTTTATCACTTTCCTCCGCTCCAAGAAACTTGCGCGCAATTCTCTCATCAACAGTTTGCTGGCGCTAAAAAAAACTAATTTTCAACAGTCCATTTCTTCTATCGTATGTGTGAGAGAAGATTTAAAGGGGAGAGATTGGAGCCGATTATTCTCTCCTTTTCTAAAATTTGGGACATGGCAACGTTATTTAACCTGAGGAGAGCACTTTAGGTGCGTGCCCAAAAATCGCCTTCAAATTGAGTGGATATGCAACCCCTCCACAATCGTGTTTGAATAGTTATCGCCTCGACCATTTGAAGGGGCTACCCTCTCTCCTTGTGACTGTTGCGAGTACCGGAGTACCGATGAGAGCCGCGAAGCATGTCACTCGATTGCGGAGTTATAGAAACTCCGCCTCGACATTTTCAGAGGATAATATATTCAGCACAAGATAAACAGCAGCAAAATTTCCAAGACTTAGTAATACCTGTCGGATTTTTTTTTTCTTTTCTTCTTTACATAAAACGTGAGAGAAATCCGTGACGATGCAAATTAATGTAGAAGTTTTGCGATGTTCACTATGTGTGAAAATATTACCTCATCCCAAAACGCATTCGCATGTTTAACTAGGTAACAGTGTTCACATGCAGGTAATATTTTCCTTTTTTTTCTTTTGAGGAACGTTTCAGTTCAATCGAGTATTATCTGTTACGATCTCAATGCCACTCAATCGTGATTGAAATATGAGGGCTTCCCAAATTACGAAAGTTGCATCTTTAGTGCATCAATCTACGAGATATTTTCAGATGACAGTCTTCTCTTACTGCATTCTAATTTTACTGTTATTGAAATTGCCTCTGTTTGAAGAGGACGGTTGATTTTGACGCTAAAAAAATTTCGGGAGAAATGTCTCGATAAGTACACTCTCCTATGTTAAACGTGCAAAATTTAGTTTTGGCCAAGAAGGCTCATCGAAAAAAAATCAGTAGGAGTCATGCTACTGAAATTTCTTGCGTTACTTGGACATAATTCGTCGTTTTCTAGACAGAGGAACGTATGTACATCTCCTCTTCAAACAGAGTTCTGTAAAATTTGCATAATTGTTGATCAGACTCCTTTGAATAGTAGAAATGTAGTTACGTTCGTTTGTCCAGAGAACAACAAATTTTTACCAAAATAATGAAATATTAAGAGGGACTTTAGTGCGCGGGCTGCAAGGAGAAGGATCTAAATAAATAAAAAAATAAACAATAAAGAGGCACCCAACACCTTCAATGAGACTGGAAATTTTACCAGCTGCTGAAGAACGAGATTCTCCTCGCATAAGACGCTTATTCTAGGACGGAACGTTTTATGATGGTATCAAACAACTGCAAGGATGATGTTTCATGCAAGTGCTCATGAAACGATCGTGGTTAACATATTTACGTTTAGCTTTAGATTTCATCATTCTCTACAGATCGAGGGATGACAGGGCGAAGATGACACCAAGACAGGATGATGGTTGGAGCTGATGCAAGATTTAGCCACAATGGGAAATGTCTTTCCTTTCAAATACGCGGGGAATGTATCGTGGCACGTTCGTAAAGAGATTTCTAAAATTTTGATAATGATTTCAAAAAGTAAATCGGGAACGCGTTCTTCGGACCTCGTGAAGGTAGGAGGAAGGATGGGCACCAAATTTTGTTTGCCTGTGCGACAATTGGACGTGTTTATGCTAATAAAAATAATTATTTAAACACGAATCAAATCAAAAGGAACTGTCTATTTGCATAGAGTTTACGTTTCGTTGAGTTCTTTTCCGCATAAATATGTCCAATTGGACAATATTTTGCAATTTGGACCTATAAATTCTAGCTCATCTGGAAAAACATGTATGTGCATAGGGAAACTAATGGCACATACGTTGTTTTTAAACCGGGCTGGAATTTATAGTTCCTAATTGCATAATGTAATCCAATTAATTTTGCAATGGCCATGCAAGGCTCGTCTCCCTTCAACGCGTTTTTTTGTTTAAACCAAGTCTTAATCACTTCCCTTTTTGAGATAAATTTTTTTTTTCTTTTCCTTCAGTAAGTTTCAGTTATGACTATGACATCCTTGTTCATATCGTGTAGATGCAACCGTTCCACCTTCAGGCGTGTCCATGTTGCATATTTTAAAAAATGAAGGCGCTCCGGATTCTGAACACTATCCGTTTCGATTGGACGTTTCCGATAACGGGTTTTACTTAAATTACATCTTAGGTTCAAGGGTCGTTACGTTCAGTTATTATTATTTAAGTGTAGGTGTGCAATATGTGTACCGTGAGTTTTATTCTACATTTACACTTTGAATGTGTATTTTAAAAATCTTATGAGGGTCACTTGAGCCCTTCGATCCGGTCAAAGTTCAGTCACTCCTTGACCGCGCCATTTACCTTATCCAGCGCCCTGTCGATGGAATATCAAGGGACCAAATATCAAATATTTTACTCTACCCGTACTATTGAGACATCGTAAATGGGTGATGTAAAACTTATTTTTCGAAATGTAACACTTTTCACGGATTGCATAGGTGTCTTCTCCTCGCTCGATAGTGACTGAAGTTGTTGTATCGAGTCGTTCGGTAAGGTTGCTAATCATAAGTTATACGGAGGCGGTGGACCGACGGTGAATATCTGCACGCTCTTCCACCTCGAAAACAACGATTCTGTGGGGGAATTTCGGGTTCAAAGTTTCCTGGTCAAGTCAAGTGCCGCGAACGGATCGAACGGAAAGGTTCCCGAGAACATACGAGGGAATGTTACTAGTGGCTCTTCAAATCGCGAGCGATTACACAATATATGTGTGGGTGTGTTTGGGTAAGCTTTTTGGTCAAAATTCTCGGAACGGCAGACTATAGCTAGGAATTCCTGGGAAAGTATCGGGAATTTCTTGGAATGTAGATTTTTCGCCGGGATTTCTTAGAATGTAGATTTTTAGCCGGGAATTCCTTTGAATGCATATTTTTAGCCGGGAATTCCTTGGAATGTAGATTTTCCGCCGGGATTCCGCGGAATGTGGATTTCAGACGGGAATTCCTCGGAAAGTAGATTTTAGCCGGGCATTCCTCGAAAAGTAGATTTTCGCCCGGAATCATCCTCAAAGTTCCCAGTTACGAGTGGCCAGGTTGCAAGAGCTCCGTCGGAAGTTGATGACGATGATGAGAGATGGCAAAGATGGTGTCAGGAGGGTTGCATACCTGATGTTATATCAGCCCTCGCGTCAATGGTCAAGCTGTTGCTTTCGAAATGACCGGAAGGGTTGGGTGACTCGAGGCTGTGAATCACTTGCAGAGCAGCCTCCAGCTCTTTTGAAAACTCGAGCTCGGCACCCTGCTGGGTCGGCTCCCGGCTCTCTGTCTCTTGGCCGCGACTGGGCGTCGACGCTCTACTCTGACGACTACTCTGATGACTACTCTGATGACTACCCTGATTTGTACTCTGGTGACTGGCGCCCTCGGACAGCCTCGGGAACTTTTCGCTGATCGTTTTCTGGAGCTCGACGAGGAGACTCGCATAAACGGGCTGCTCGTACGCGGCCACGTTTTTCGTGCAATGTGAGACGGACACAGACACCGATGCAGACGAAACGCTCTGAGGATATTCCTCAGACTCCAGGGACTGGGACTTGGATCTAAGCCGCGATCGGTCCTCAGACTCCAAAGACGGGGACTTGGACCTAAGCCGCGATCGTTCCTCAGACTCCAAGAACTGGGACTTGGACCTAAGCCGCGATCGGTCCTCAGACTCCAAAGACGGGGACTTGGACCTAAGCCGCGATCGGTCCTCAGACTCCAAGGACTGGGACTTGGACCGGAGCCGCGATTGGTAGATCGACGACTCGCTCAGTTTCTCCAAACACTCGTACAGAGGCTGCGCCGAGTCGGACACGTTAGCGTTGGACAAGGAACTCAAAGAAGAGGTCCTGGATATGCATTGCGGCGTGTTGGTCGCCGGCGAGAAGCTAGTTAAACACTGTAACGGACTGTACTTAACGGGCTCACCTTCGACTATGATATCGACCGGAGGACCAGCGCGGATCGGACTAGAGCTACATTTAATGTTATTGATATTCAAAAAGTCTCTATTCAGTTTGACACTGTAGGTTTTGTTAAGGTTAAAATCGTTCTGAGATTTATACGCAGTCGGGCAGAGGCCGCTCCCCCGGGCGTGATCGGGTAGCGATCCGACTGTGTCGGCGTCGAACACCCAGGACTGGGCGTACTCGTCGTATAGGTAATCCGATTTTTCCTTCCCCTCCTTCCCGGAGTCGAATTTCACCTGAAACATACAATTTTCGTACAGAATCTCGAAATCAGGGAGCGAGGCCGTCTTCACACGCTCAAAAAGGTTCTGAAAGTGAGGGCGATCGATTCTTAAAAGTGGGACGATTTCTGCGCCTGCACTGAAAAAAAAAAAAATCTCGGTGTATATTTACTAAGAAAAGGGTAAAATTACCAAGAATTCAGGGTTCAATTTGATCTCAGTTTTTTTCCGGTAAAAGTACCATTTATGGAATTGGTAATTTTACCGAGAAATCTCGGCAAAATTATTGAACTTTCTCGGTAATTTTACTGGACCTTGGTAGAAACGCCGATATTTTTTATCGACTGTGGTAGAATTACCGAGATAAAATGGCAAAGTTACCGGGAATTGATTACAAATAAAAGTGGTATTCTTACCTGAAAAAAAAAACAGTAAAAATACCGGTTTTTAGGTAAGCTTGCAGGTCTGTCTTGGTAAAATTACCAATAATTGGTAAAAAAAGTGAGATGGTAAAGGTACCAACGGACCGTGGTAAAAACGCCGATAATTTTTTTTCAGTGTGTCCCGTTTCTCTCCTCAAAACTCTGTCAAGCTTTTGGACCGCGTTAAGCAAAGAGAAACCAAGCCACATCAGCCATCGCCAAATTTAGTGGGGCAGTTTAATTTTAAACATGAAAACGGTTGAGCGGATTTTTGTGCAAATTTCAGTGAATTTTCTGCATAGTACGAAGCAAGTTTTTTAACATTTTCAAAGGAATCCGCACAAACGTTCTCTTGTAAAAAAATAAATTGCCTGGTTAATTTGGCAATAGCTGATGTGGCTTTGTTCATGTCTGCTAAATGCGGTCTATTTACACCTGAGAAATGTGTTGGTTGATGCTGCCACGAAGATCTCATTTAATCGGTTGCATCACGCTCTCATTTTAAAGATTCTGTCTTGGCCGTGTGAAGAGGGCTTACGAGGATAGATATGAAAATAAACAAAATGCAGCGGAAAGGTATCTACTAATGTTATATTTTGCCAAATCCAACATTTAGTGTCATGTTTTAAGAATTGACATCATTTCATTTGACATAGGACTAAGAAAAAAAAAATAAAATAAATCCTAACCCATATTCAATTCACTGTTACTATTGAATTCAATTACTGAATCACGTTGTTTGTCAATCAAATCGATCATAATTGTCATCAAGGACAGTCAAAAACTCGAAAAATGAATTGCATTTGGCGATTATAACTACTAGGCTAGAAAATTTTTACTTCGCATTAAGCTAGTGGGACTTCGCAAATACATCCAAATGACACTCAGTCCCATTTCAGAAGAAAATTACTTTCACATTTACTTTTTTTTTCGGGGGGGGGGGCGTCTTTCATTAAAGCAAGAGGTAAAAATTCAGATCAAAGTCATGCATCTTCTGGAGATAAAAAGCTCACTCAGTTCAAGGATGTTCTTGCTCCACAAGTAACTATTTTAACGCGTTGGCTCGCGTATTGCATACACGACTAAAAGAAGGAGTTTTAAGTCCTCGCGTGAGCGTCATCCGTCGGCGTTCATTTTGTGCCATTTGCGATTTGTGGTCATTTTCACAATTATGTTCATTTTGATTTTACAACAAAACTGATCAGTGGATGAATATACAAATGTGTGGTAAAAGCATGGTTAAATAATTTTAATCATGCGGAAATGTGATAACCGTGCATCTTAGTTAAACCCACTTTTTGCCAAAAAATTAGGTATACGTTCTAGGAGTGAGCACTCCTGTTGCCTGTGCTTACGTATCAGGGTAATCCGCGTAACATACCTGTTTCGCACACGGCAGCTATGTTCAAGGAAATACTCATTCTAGGTGGAGCTTTCCTCATTGCCAAACTTGAAATAAAACAGGGATTTCAGTCTTTTTGGTTGTCCCTAGTCGATCATTATTCATGACGGCTGCAGTAAAAGTCTGAGATGGCCTTTAAAGGAAACTCTCCTAAGTAAATTTAGCAGATACAACGACAAAGTTTGCCGTTTCCAGCAAAGGGGAGAATAACTCCATTCCATTGAAGCAAAATTTAATCAAATAATTCAATTTTTTACAAGTTCGTAAGTTAACAGTTTCTGTCCAAAATACTGCTGGATGAGCTTGTTCAATATCTCGTAATTCCTGCATTTTTGTAAAACGGCGAGTGTCTTTTGGCTCACAGTAATTTTAGTCAAAAGAGTCGGCCCCGCAGCGTGACGAATATTATAGGACGTCACCTTGGATTTTCGGCGATGCACGTTTAAACGAAAGCACAAACTCCGAGTTTTTGGGCTTAAAATTGTTTAAAAATCCAAGAATATTCTTGCAAGCCATGTACAATCTCTAGTCTCTACGTTACAAATTAACAGGAATTGTAAATAACTAAACATGCTCATTGGAAGAAAAATCAGTCAAATATTCAGTCAGTAAATGCTCAATATAGTTTCTTAGTAAAAATGAATCTTAAAATTAAACGTATTTCTGTCAAACGGAACTATGTGCATTATGACGTGAGCCCTGTTATGCATGTATTCTTATGGGTCTCACGGCTCATGTCTTGATGCACATATAGTTCCGTTTGATAGGAATCCGTCCAATTCATCTTTTTTAAGATGCAAAATTTGTGTTTTAACGAGCAAAGATAAGGATACTCACTCTTGGAATGATGTATTCGATGTCTGTTATAATATCCGGATGACTGATGGAGTCTTTCCTTCCCGCTTTTCGTTGCATTGAGCAGAATGTGAATTGACTATCTAAAAATGACGTTAGCATTGCAACCAATGTGCTGATAGTGGATATTTGTACTGTGGATATAATGAAGTAAAATCAATAAAACAAATAATTAAATCCATTCATAGGGGAACAGAGAGGGAACAAATAGCGGAAATGGACGCAACGGCGAAGTGCAAAAGTAAAGGTTTGCGCAAATACGCGAAAATATCAAAGTCCAAAGTTACGAAACTATTTAGGAATGAAGACTTGAGTTCGGGGGTGTTAAAGATAAGTTATTCACTGCGGTGCTGAGACAGAACGCAGTATGAACCTTCGGGCGTTGTGACAGTTCCTTCAATAGAGTCAGTACTTTTTCTTCTTCTTTTTTTTTAGGAAAATGGTGAAAGTATTTTTTTCAATTTCTCAGAGTGTTTTCTCGCACTGTAATCTAAAGGATTTGAAACATTTCAGGAAAAAATAATAAGAAAATTTCCCAATTATAAGAGCTTTATCGAAGGAAATTCGACAGCATTTCAATTTTTATACAGCGATTTTCTCCGGCAAGACGGCACAAGCAACTATTTTAACTCTCCGGAGCGAGTATTGCGTACACGACAAAATGAAGGCACTTTGAGCGGCCGATAAATGCGTCCAATTTCATGCCGTTGACGGCTCGCTCTCAAACTGATGAGTGAAACAAAATCCTCTTTTAAATAATCTGCCATTACCAACTCTCGGTAATTTGACAACAATCAACCTCTTGCTAACTGAAGTCGGAAAATGTGTTGAAAGTTCAGTTGAAACTTTATCTCGGAAATGATCAACATGTGAAAACGCCAAATCCAGTCAATTGATTAAAATTATGAAAATACTGATTCTTATGATCTAATCTCATGATTAGGCCCATTGACAGAAAGGGACGTTAATGGAATAAATAATGCCAACCCTGGTGAAAATTGGCAGTAGAATCTGTGTTCCAAAATACCATAGACCTACAGCCAGCTGTAAGATTTGCAATGGCTTCTATAGCCGGCAACACAATTTCTCATAGCCTTTCATAGCCGATGGCGACTAAGCAACAGCCTGACGATAAAGTGTATGCTAAACGTTACTAATTACGGATGCTAGGACTTAATGAGTTCTTGGACTACCACTCTCTTTTTGGGCCGTAGTATCTTGATTTATTTTGCGAGGAAAGCTCCGTACTTTGGAAGGATGCCTGCCATTCCTAATATGTTGGAACGCCTTCAATTTCGCATGATACTGTGCAATACTTCTGGTGTGAAATAGTTGCTTTAAGCGCCGTGGTACGCTGCGGCGCGGCGCGGCGGGCGGGCAGCCAGCGCGAAACGCGCATTGGCGCCTACAAACCTAACAGGGGTACCTCAAGCATTACGCAATGCGTGAGGTATCTCTGATAGGTTTGTAGGCGCCAGTGCGCCGCCGCGCCGCTCCGCTTTGTGTTAGGCTCTAATATGTATTTAATCGCGTGGAGTCAGCGTTTTTCAACTCATGACATTGAAATGTTTGCACACTCTGTATGGATTATTCTCATTTTAATTGATGAAAAAAAATATGTAGTAAAGGAAAATATAATGTGCGTTTTGTAAATATTTAAGGTGATTCTGTACAAACTTAAGGATTTACAAAGCACACGAATTTCTACACAATTTCTTATAGCCTTTTATAGCCGATGGCGAAAAAGCAACAGCCAGGCGATAAAGTGCCGGCGATAGGAACAATAGCCCGGCTGAATGGTTTTTTATCGCTTCGTGTAGCCCGGCCTTATGATTTTTTCCACCTCTTACAGCCCGCTATATGATTTTTTATCGTCTTCTTCAGTCGGCTATAAGAACTCCTATAGTATTTTGAAACGCAAATCCTATCGCCAATTTTTACCAGGGAAATATCAGATTGTATTAATTCACCCTCTCCTACGTAACGCATATGTACCTTTCAAAAAAAAAAAAAAAAAAAAAAAAAAAAAAGCAATTACGTAACGCTCTATTCGATCTTTCTCCCTCCCTCCCCTCAAATTTGCTGGTTTCGATAGATTTGAATGAGAAAACGCCGGACCGCTATAGTCAATTTTTCATTTTAAATTTTCCGAGCGTCAATTATAACGTTAGGTAACGTAGCTGCAAACTCTATTTCCCCCCGTAACGTTTGGAATCAGGCCGCTACTGTAGTTCTCTCTCAAAGAGAAATACATGTTTTTTAGAGCGATGAACAGCCCTCAGTGCAACAATGAAAGCAAATAGCATCGCCTCTCAGACGTGAGGACGTATCTTTATTCACGCAAGCCCCGAACAATATGGAGTTACACGTAGAATAGGGCTCACGTGAAAATTGGACGTATTTCTGTCAAACGGAACTATGTGCATTATGACGTGAGCCCTGTTATGCATGTATTCTTATGGGTCTCAGGGCTCATATCTTAATGCATATAGTTCCGTTTGATAGAAATCCGTCCAATTGAGAAACAGCTTCACGTCGAAAGGGCGACGATATAAGAGCAAGATACCAGGGTCGGACTGACCATAAGGCCAATCTGCCATCGGCAGATGCGCCCCCGCAGCGCGCCAAAGGCGCGCCCCTCTTCCGGCCGCTAGAATAATAATAAAGAAAATGAAGAAAAGAAGCAAAGAATAAAAAGAAGAAAAAAAGAAAAAAGAAGAGAGAAAAAGGAAAGAATAATAAATAAAAAGCAAGGAGAAAAGAAAATAAGTAAAGAAAAAATGCCTAAAAATTATAAGTAAACGGGAGAAGCTTTAATAGGAGTTAATTACTGAAGAACCCCATTTCCCCATAAGAGGCCGTGTATTTTCGGAGGAAATAAGGGACGAGAAAAAATTGAAGCAAACAGGTCATGCGCCATACCAATTTTACGTAACTTTTTTCGTAGAATCCATATCTGAAGTCGAGACATACCCTTGCCATTTGAAATTTAATTCAATTCCAGAATTTTCCTCCGTAAGATGAATCGACTTTGAACCTGAAAATATTGTCAAAATTCTACTTAGAAGAGTTGGATTTTTAAAAAATTCCGGCCCTTCCGAGAGAGGGGGGTTTGTTCCTGCATACTTTTTAGCGAAATATCACATTGCGCTCCCTTCGCCGGCTAAGGGTCTGCGCCCTCAGAGGTGCGTCAGTCCGACCCTGTTGATACAAATTAAAACTCACCGTAAAACTGAAAAGTCTTTGAGTTTTCTCGTTCGGCGAGTATAGCTGGATCCTTGGTTTTGAAGAGCCGCCAGTTATCAGCTTCGAGGATGATTAAATTGACTAAGTTGGCACCGAGAACGATGACTGTGAGGAAGAGGAAGGCCCGCTGTTTCCCGGTCGTCAGGTCTCCGACGCACGCAAACACTGCGCCCCCAACGCCGATCACAATATTCTGAAATCGAGGTAATTCCAAAGTCACGTCAAGGATAGTTAGTTCCTAAAAGCTTCTTCGATCATATGGAACTTAAATCGGACGTATTTCTGTCGAACGGAACTAAGCGCCATCGGGGTAGGAAGGTAGAGGGGGGCTTGGATTGACGGCGGAACCGGGCGTCAGGCTCATTCGCTCCTATACTCGCGATGCTTTTCCATGGCGCTTAGTTCCGTTTGACAGAACGCGCTATCCGGGATTCCAAATTCCTCAAAAGGAACTCAAATTGGCGCTTAGTTCCGTTTGACAGAAATACGTCCAATTTAACTTTTTCTAGCGATGACCTGACGATGTTCCTTATCTAAAGATGAAATAATGGACGTATTTCTACCGACCGGGCGTCAGGCTCATTCGCTCTTATACTCGCGATGCTTTTCCATGGCGCTTAGTTCCGTTTGACAGAACGCGCTATCCGGGATTCCAAATGCCTCAAAAGGAACTCAAATTGGCGCTTAGTTCCGTTTGACAGAAATACGTCCAATTTAACTTTTTCTAGCGATGACCTGACAATGTTCCTCATCTAAAGATGAAATAATGGACGTATTTCTACCAAATATGGGGTGTGCTCGTTAGTTCTTTTTGCGTAAGAGTGAATGAGAATGATAAAGCGCCAGTGACGTCAGCGGCATCGAAGGAGCGCCGGCACAACGGGGAGATCGTTGGAGGGAGTCTTTAACTCATGAGCCCTGTGCACAACGCTCTCTTCCCATGCCCGCAGCTCATGAGTTCCGCATTCAGTTGGCACTTGGTCTCTTTGATAGAATGTAAAATCCCGCTTTTCCAATTCTTCAAAAGGAATCACGCCCACTTTTACATTGCCTCCTATGCAGCTTTCTAGAGCACACCCCATATTTCTCACCTCCACATGGGTCTGTTTGGTAGAAATAAGTCCAAATAAGAACGATAATAAGCAAAAATAGACCGAATAATTTAACGAGACAAAATTCAAGAAAATGGGGCAACCAAGGCTAAAAACAGACTAACAGAATGCCTGGGACGTTTCGGGGGTGATCAGGGGGTTGAAACCACTCCGGAGCATCTTCGGCATTTTGTTTGTTTGGTTTCAGCCTTGGTGACCAATTTTTTGTCTCCCTAGAGATGAATCAACACTTGAAGTAAACAAATATCAAGATATCTAACAAATTTTGCGAAGTTACTGGTTCTGTATGAAATTTTCTAATGAACGGATCTGTTACGCCCAGAGGCACATTTCAGTAACTTCTCCCCCTTGCCGTCGGAAGGAATTTCTGCTCGTAGAGCAAACTCGCCGTTATGCAGTGAAAAAAAGTTTATGCCCGATTTTTCCTTCGAGGAGTTGTGACATCTGGACTTGATGCCATTCGGCCACGTGAGAGCTCGGATTGCCTATACTTAAACTTGAAGGCGAACTTATAATGAGCTAAAGTCACCGATCTATGCTCGGTGAAGTCTATGTCCGCCTTTTCCCCGAGAAATCGTGACGTTTGATGTCACTATTTCGCCACATGAGAGCCTTGTTACACAATTTTACCCACAACTCTAAAAGGCCGCCATCTTTTTAGACGGATTTCCTTAACTAAAACATAAGACAATTTAAGCACTCCTGTACTAATTAAATTTAATTCAAAGAGCGAGAGAGTAAAGATGTCGATCAAAGACCCCCCCCCCCCCCCCCATCAAAGCGTATATTTGCCATAGTATACTTTCTGAAGCGGGAAGCTCAAGAATACGCACATTTTAAACGCAGATTGTAGAATAAGGAGTGAATTTCACCCTCTTTCGATGTGCTTTCTGTGATTTTTCACGCGCTTCAACTCGCTTTTACGCTGTAGCCAAATGGCAACAGGCCCATTTTCGCTAAAAGTGTAAAAAATTGAGTGACTCACCACGCAGCCAGTCCATACGTTTGAACTGAGCCTTTGCGATGGGAAGGAGAAGAATAGAAGGATTCCCAGTATGATCTGGGTGGCCCCTATTCCGATGTAAGCGAGGTTGTACAAGATGTGGAGCGAGCAGCACACTCGCGACCAAGTACAGCACATTGAGCGGTCGTGCCTGTACGTCAAAACAAAAAAAAAAAAAAAACATCACAACAATTAGTTAAATGAAATAAGTTAGTTTTAAGCTCAAATCACACTATCAAACTTTTCATCCAACTCTTGGATGCAACTCGTCGAATGAAAAGTTGGATGGTGTGATACTGACGAGAGAAAACGACAATTTGATGAAAAATTGAACGGAAACTTGAATATGACGTCACATTCAACTTTTCGTTCAACTTTCCGTCCAATCGGTCCGCCAATGTTCCGCTTCCAATCGATTTTCGTGATCTACGACCCGTGATCGGTGCTCTTCACAAGGTCTCGGGTCTGGGTCCGACATCATGGGAGAACGCAATAGTGTATTTCCTTCGGAAAATACACTAAAACGCGGGAAAATCGTAATAGATTTACGGCGTTCTTGCTTAGCACGGCACTGTAATAGTGTTAGCTCATCGGTGACGCGACTTCGCTGAATTTGGAGCTTCAGGAGAAATACCGCAAAATCAGAAATGCGGCCGCTTCTAATGAGATCTGAAAACTCGGGCTGGGGTCGCAATAGGCATAAAATATGGAATGAATTGACTCGCCTTTGACGTAGGCCCAGAGGCTAAAACGGTGCTCGTCTTGCGAGCGAAGTTTCGTGAGTTTTCATCGTGTACCCGTTCCGCACTCGGTTTCGGCCTGTATATATAATGATGGCATTATCCATGATGAAACACGCTCCACGCTAACCCAAATACCATCCTATCGTCTACGCTATCCCTAGACGCCAGCAGCTAAAATCGCGTTTAGTCGAGCGGCGCGCACATCGCACAATTTTCCCGGCCTTGAGAGCACTGAGTCATGCAATTTTTATGGAAACCACGTCAATTTTTGGAGGGGAATCTCGTGGAAACGCTCGTGTAATTTTTTTTTTTTTTTTTGGGGGGGGGGCATCGAGAGCTGTTTTTGCTCTTTACGATTTTTTCCCTCCTTTGCTGGCTAGTTATTTTTTACAACATTTAAAAACCTGCATGTGCTGCAGGGTTCGACCTCATGTATAAGTTCAATACATCTATGGCGAAATTAAAGAATGTCGTATTTCGGTTAACGATGTTGCAGTTTTCCTGTCATTTTTTAATACATTGGAAAATCTTTGCTCAAAGGCATTTCGACCTAACCTTTTGGTGTGATTGTTTTTTCCTTTCTACGAACATTTTGTATACTTAAGGCACTTATTTGCAGCTCAATTCCGAAATGTGTCTTGATGTTGCAACGCAACCCGAAGTCGGTCACGGGAACTGAATGCAACTAATTATTACGCATGTAGTTAATGTTACATATGCAAAAGATTGAAGGGGCCGAGGCTTTCCTATCTTCAGCAACGCGACGCAAAGTTAATCTCGTGAGCTGGATAGAATTATTCTTGTTTGAAAGTTGCCAATGCATTAAACAGCATAAAAAAAGAAAAAAGAGAGAGAAAAAAGAAAAAAAAGTTGCCAATGTTACATGTACGACTTATTATCGAAGAAATTCTGGATTTCAACATTCGCGTTATCAAAAGTTCAAAAAGTAGATTTCCTAAAAATAATAGGAGGGCTCAAATTATGCGAAATCGAAAATTCGAAGTGGTAAAAAGCAAAATTCTGACGTCAATAAACAACGAAAAAACAGAAACATTCTTTTAACTGAAATTCATGCTAAAACTTGATGAGGCCTTCATAAAAAATACATGACTCACCACTATCAAGGCCGGAAAATAGTACACGCGACTTGGCCAAGAGTTTGAATCACTTCGTAGCAGTGGCGTGGCATGCTTTGCGATATCGATTGATCTGCCATTTAAACCTGTGGTAAAGCATCGATATCAGCAGGGTCTCGCAATGATCACCTTAATAATCGATTCTTTATCACAGCTTCAAATGGAGAAATATCGATAATTGATCGTTCAAGCCTCGCCACTGCTATGTAGATCTATAGAGATCAATGCGAAAAAATGGACCCTTCGCGCCGATGACAACAATTTAGAGACTTCTAGAGACATTCTAGAGATTGATGCCTCAAGGTTGTATTTTCTGAGTTTCGATAGTCTGTGAGGCATGAAGGATTTCTATATTTCACTGTAAAAGTAATAGGGGTGTTACACTCCACCAGAAAATATCTCACGGAGAAAGGATGAAACTCTATACAAAAGTTTTTCTCTCTCTCTCCCTCCTTTTCTTGGCAGCGAAATATGAGGCACATTAGCTTGAACACAGCTTGAGCTAACTTTTAGAGAACTGTGCGAGGCTAACTTAATGCTGATAACCCTAAGAAAATATTTTGGCAGAAACGAAAATAGGCATTAAAGTAGTTTTCGAAACTTACCTGTGAGTTTCAGGAGCCATGTGGCGCATCAAGCCCGATTTTTAGGCGCCATTGAAGATTTTTTAGGGGCCAAATTGACTTTTTGTCTATATATTAAGGCGCATTTAGTGGAAAGTTAGACGCAAGATATTTTTATAACAAAACTATTAAGTAGCTGTAACTTGGAGAAGACAAAAGCACTAAGAATGAAATCGTGAAAATTTAGAAAAAGCAAGCTTTCACTTGTGGTGCTGAGAATTCTGAGTTTTTTCAATTCAAATAGATTTGTGTTTCTTTCTTTATGCGACTTCCTGTGAAAATCCACATTTTTAGGGGGCAATTTTTAGGGGCCACGTTGGCTCAGAGCTTTCATTTTTTAGGCACCATGGCCCATTTTTAGGCGTATTTGGCGCGTTGGCGCCTGTGAGTTTAGAACACTGCATTAAAGTATAGACGTAATTAGGTAGCTTCCTAACCGCCCTCTAACAGGGTCCTAGCCGCATTAAATTTCCTCAACCTGTCAGAAAAACATACCTCGACGTTCGGCAACTCTGTAATGTCGAACATCAAGATATACCATCTACCAATCACACCAGAGTCCGGTAAATTTTCAAAAAGTCAATCCTAAAGATCTTTTTAGTTTCCACGGAAATGTCTTTTTTCCTACACTCATGAGGGGCATTACTTCTGAGCCACCCCTCGTAAATTAAAATAGAGTGATGAGAGAGAAGCCGTAGGTATCTCATCCTTTAAAAAAAACACACATTTTTGAAACAAAGTAAATTTTTTGTTTTGTTTTTTGGAGGAGTAGTTTCCGCACTAGATATTCAATTGTATTCGGTTCCAACAAAAACGTCACACTATATCTGCACAGTGACGTATTCTCATATCATGCAAATTAAATGTATAATTTGCATGATGTGGGGCTCGACTAGGAAACTAAGAGTGATATGAGCAATACGATTCTTTTTCAATGGCTACATCGAGGAAGTTTTAGACGGAGAAACAAACTTCTTCGGCGCGCGGAAGTTTCTGAGATTTTCCTACGGTAGAATAGCAGGTCGGATCGGGCTTTTGTTCGCGCGCTCATTAAATGCTCGCGAGCTTCTCTTTTACTAGTGTCCTCCTACGTTATTACGCAGGTACCAAAGCGCTTGAACCTGCTCTCATCTCTTTGAGAAGATGAAGAAGAAAAATACGAAGAAAAACAATCCAGAGAAAACGAGATGCTTTCGCTACCGTATTATTTTTTTTTATTTTTTTATTTTTATTTTTTTTTTACTTTTTTCAAGTTTTTTTATTTTTGATACGAGGAAACGGTCTTTGTGCGCAAATATTATTAAGATAAATCGATACCACATATAAATAAACATGATGATATTGAACAAATTGTGCTAAAATACTGATTTTACCTAGAGTTTTTACCAAAAAAAGGATCCATTAAGTCTATGTAAGATCTTTCCATCGCTTCTCTGGCGTAAAAGCGTATTTTTTACTCCACATGAGCCCCGAAGAGCATAGAGATTTAAGGGAAGCAGGGCTCATATGGGATTGAGTTACGCACCTGCGACAGAGGAGTAACGAGTTTATAGCTGTTTATAACAATACATTTTTTTTACAAAACCTGAATTCGAGCTGAAGGTATACTTCCAACATATATATGCGAACGCGAAAATTAAAACTTCGATTTGAAGAATTGTATGCAATATTTCGCGTCCACTTACTTTCGATTTCATTGTTAGAGATTATTAAAGAAATAATTATAAGATATATTATTTCAAAAGAAACAGCTAAAATGTGCCCGGAGTCGTACTGGGTCCGTTTTCCCCCAAGAGTTAAGAAGAGAAACCAGTAGGTCCCTGGTAAAAATTGGCAGTAGAATCTGTGTTCCAAAATACCATAGACCTACAGCCAGCTGTAAGATTTGCAATGGCTTCTATAGCCGGCAACACAATTTCTCATAGCCTTTCATGGCCGATGGCGACGAAGCAACAGCCTGACGATAAAGTGTATGCTAAACGTTACTAATTACGGATGCTAGGACTTAGTGAGTGTTTGGACTACCGCTCTCTTTTTGGGCCGCAGTTTCTTGATTTAATTTCCGAGGAAAGCTCCGTTATTTTGAAGGATGCCCGACATTCCTAATATGTTGGAGCGCCTTCAATTTCGTATGATACTGTGCAATACCTCTGGTGTGAAATAGTTGATTCAAGCGCCGCGGTCCGCTGCGGCGCGGCGGGCGGGCAGCCAACGCTGAACGCGCGTTGGCGCCTGCAAACCTAACAGGGATACTCCACGCATTGCGCAATGCGTGAAGTATTCCTGTTAGGTTTGTGGGCGCCGGTGCTCCGCTTTGTGTTAGGCTCTAATATTTAATCTCGCGGAGTCAGCGTTTTTCATAACTCATGACTTTGAAATGTTTGCACACTCTGTATGGATTATTCTCATTTTAATTGATTAAAAAAAATATGTAGTAAAGGAAAATGTAATGTGCGTTTTGTAAATATTAAGGTGATTCCGTACAAACTTAAGAATTTACAAAGCACAATAATTTCTACTCGATTTCTTATAACCTTTTACAGTCGATGACGAAAAAGCAACAGCCAGGCGATAAAGTGTAAAACCCGGCGATAAAGTGTAAAGCCCGGCGAAAGGAACTATAGCCCGGCTGTATAATGTTTTATCGCTTCGTGTAGCCCGACCGTAAGATTTTTTCCTCTTTCTACAGCCAGCTATATGATTTTCTATCGCCCTCTTCAGTCGGCTATAAGAACTCTTATGGTATTTTGAAACGCAGCTGCTATCGCCAAATTTACCAGGGGTACTTATTTTTAAAATAAATTGTTAGATATTTCTACCCTCTCCTCTTTTTCAAGTAATGTAGGTAAATATAACATGAGGCATTAAAAATTACTCGGTGAGGTTCTAACTCGGCGCGATGGGGACTTTTCTACGCAAAAATTCACAGGAACGGAATGCAAAAAGGTAATTTTCCAGGGCAGTGCCTGGTCATTGCAAGTTGCGATGCCAATTATTTGAAGGGTCTTACAACTGCTTTTGACCTATTACCCTGATTTCATCATAAACTAACTTACAATTAGTACAGATATTTATCAAACAATATGTTCATTGGTTCCTTCGATGAAAAGTAGTTTTAGCTTTTTTCTAGTCCAAAAAATGATAGAGATTGTGGCGAACACTAAACATCATGATTCTAAAAGTGTCAATGGGAGACTTGATAATGGTATTTTCGCTTTTTTACATTCTTCGTACGTATCTCTTATTTTGCTCTTAAAAATCTTAGGATAGATAAGTTCACCACACTCATTGTTAGCATAGTATGACTCAGACCATAGGTCAAAAGATTGGCATAATCTAATCGCTCACAAATATCTTCAGGCGACTTACCAATTGTCTCATCGGCGACACGAATCCTAAGTAAAACCCTGAGCTGACCAACGGGTTGAATGAGTTTCTTTGGTGTGTCCAGAAGAGTCGGCCCTTATGGACTTTGGCCTCAGCTGTATCTGTTCAACATCCACAGCGAGATGAGCGTGGAACACCTCACATCCCCCCCCCCTTTTTTTTCACCGAATTATATTATCATGTTATGTTAAATACATTTAAATTGTGCAAATCACACATTGCACCGATTATATCTATACATTGGTAAAATTCATAGTGGAAGTATGGATGCGATAAACTACCACAATGTCAGATATCAAAATATTGGAAATTTCTATGCAGGTAATTTTGGTGTTCAAGGCTTACATCCTCTTGATAACATGTTTTGTCCTTTGGATTTCAATTCACACTTTTTATCTCACTATTCAATCCAAAAAATAAAATATGGTTGATAAAACCAATTTCCAAAACAAATCAAATTCTCCAAATTCCTCTATTGTGACTGTTTTCTAAAGATGCACTCTTAGTATTACATAAACTTCACTTATTTATATTATTTATTGAAATTTTGCCCGTGAGGATGCGGTGTAAACCTATCTGCATACTCAAATTGTAATATATCATAATTATTTATGCAAGATGATTGATGCTTTATTCGCGCTGTATGTAGAGTATGTATGGACGTTCTTAAAGTATATGGTCATCAAACTTAATGGTCGTAAAAACGTTATTGAAGTCGATGGAACAAAGTTCTCCACATTGACTTACTGCGTCTGTGTAATTGTCCAAAATGCACGTTTCTCATTCGTAAAATTCACTTATTGAGACTTGTCATTGAAATTGAGACAGCGAGAATGCAGTAAACTGTCACATTTCAAGATATGAATTGAGAAGACAAGAAAAGATTTGACGCTCTTTTGGAATAGACATTTTTAAGAAAGATCGTAAAAATGCTGTTCAAAGGTCAATGGAACCAATTTCTCCACTTTTACTCACTACGTCTAGTTTCCAAAGATGCACTTTGACTAGTGCAACCGGGTACGTTGACATTTGGATGTAGATAGGTAAAAACACTCGTGAGTATCCCGCCCTCAGGGAGCTTGCGCGTTCGGCGTTTGCGAGTAGCGAGTAGCGAGTAGTGGCTTTTCGCTAGGAGAACCTATGACGCTCATTCTCCCAGTTTGTTTAGGCTACCTAGAATTCAGCTGTGGATCCTCGAAATTTCTATGCGCAAGAGCAGGGTTACCGCGATCTTTCAAGCGCTCGCAAAAACATACCCGAGGAGCGCACTGCTGCGTAATTCGCATCCAAGGCCCGGAAATTGAAGTTCCTGCAGGTGCGCTATTCGTGGCCAGCCTCAATTTCCTCTTTCTATTACCTTTGAAGTTGATACCTTAACTTTTCCCTTAAAAATAAGAGAAGCCTCTGATACTCTCTGGGTGGTGCTGGCGTCAAAGGGTCCATTGAGCTGCAGGAAGTTTTGATAAATTGATAAAGTGTGTTACTATCACACAGTTGTACGATCTGCAATGTAAATGCAGTGGTCGAATATACCTCATCGAGAATGAATGTGTAAATATCTGAATGTTCGAGGGAAGCAGTTTTCCTGCTGTAGATAAATGAGGTGTGAATTTTATCTACCTGACAATGTCATGAACATTGAATATTTTCACACCGCAGAAGTCGATATTTAAGTATTAGATTCAATTATCTATTGCGAAGTAAATTATTTATTAACCCTTTTATACTTGAAAAAGCACCAAAAACTAGTGTGAAAATAGGGAGCGAGATTGAGAAACATGTATCTTACCGTAATTTTATAAAGATTGATACATTTCTTATTATTTTGGGGTGTGAAGCTATTTGCTGAGATTAAAAAGGACAAGGTGAAAAGCTACGTAAATACATAAACTGGTGCGAAGCTTTTCTGAGGGAAAGCTACACAAAAATTTGCGTAAAATTGTATCATAAAGAGGAAAAATTAGGGCAATGAAAAATACGCGCTTAGTTTTTATTCTATATACAGTCAGAAACCCTTTACCCTTTTTCTGTAATAATATAAGAGCAATTACTGACGCGTGTTGAAATGCATGCATTTGCAAAATATTTTGAAAATTAGACAAATAAAAAGAAGCATTGAATTTCTCTAGGATTTTAATTAATTTAACCAATTTAGCTAGGGGTGAGAAAAAATTGCTAATAATATAATCATGCAGTCTAAAAAGCCGAGGGAAGTAAAAAATATTTTTAAATTTTACTTGAAACGGATGAAAATAGGGCGCCTACCTCTAATATTCCAAAATTTACGTGAGGAATCCTTTAAATTCGGCGGAACATTTAAACAAACTCCGAATCCGGGAAGAACGTGAACAGATGTAGAACCATTCTCACTAATTTCGTATCAGTAAAGAAGTTATAATTAAGCGACAAGGAGAAACGGAACGAAGATAGTTCATTATACATATTCCAGGAATCGCGGAGGCACAGCTTTGTGACAGGAACTAGAATCACATGGTACGGATTTGTATTTTCTGATAATAATGCTCAGCCCCAGAGCTCAACTTGACTGGCTGAGGGCAAGGCCGCGCAGCGGTTCGCGTAACCCCCACCGGGAGCGCTAAAGTAGCGGGGGCCCGGATGAGACCCGACCCGGGGTGGTGAGTATTGATTCTCCAAATTGCAGCATCCATTTATTCAAACTCTCCCGTATATAGGTCAGTGGAGCAAAATTTTCACAGCCCAATCCTCTGGTCACACTCACCTCACACACTTTCACGAGATCATTGCGCGCTAAAGCGTGACTGTAATCCGTCCTCCTTCTGGTTGCCCCCTATAACCCCCCTATTATTTTCTCGGTCGGAGAGTTTTCAACCCCTAAAGTAATAACAGATATCACTCGTAAAGCGTTCGCGATAAGACTCTCTGAAATGAGAGATCTTATCCTGGCTGAGTTTTCGAGGAGAAAAGCCCGAATCATCGGGAAAATGTTTACACATTACTAAAATTAATTGATCGTTTGGAAGGATCGATTTTTCTAATTTTGGAAGAAAATTATGTTCGCCAACCACGAATGGCAGCGCTTCTCGAAGGTGGAAAAATATGCGGTTTTTCTTCTTCTTTTTTTTGTTTCTTTTTTTTGTTTCTTTTTTTTGTTTCTTTTTTTTGTTTGTATGTTGTTTTAGGCTTTATATCCGGGGGATACTGCGGCCTTGGAAGGGATCTGAAAAATGGAAAGTAATTTTGGTTTTAGTTATAATATGCGGGTTTAGTAAAACGCTTTGTCCTGTGAAGGGGTTTTCCTCTGCCTTATTGGCTGAAAATCTAAAATGAACGTGAGGTTTAAATCATCTTTACTAAACCTTGAATTTTTTGCTTCGAAGTGGTCAAGGTGCAATGGGTGCTTTCCGTAATTGGGCATTTAGACCATATTTTGAAAAAAAAAAAGAAAAAAAAAGGCCAGGAATATAGCTATAATTTTGCAACTTCTGTCTCAAGTACCTAATTGTAAGAATCGAAAAGTAAAAATAAAATTAAAATTCTCGATTGGTGGTCTAATTTCAATAATTTTCCTCCAATTTTCACCCGAAATCCTTGTTTTGCCGTGCCTGTAGGAACTACTTATTTTAAGAGTTTCTTGAATTCTAGAAAGAGAACTATCGCCACCTCCGCACACGATATTTATGGCTTTGTAATATAGATGTCACCCACTTTTGCCGATACGTTTTTATAACGTATATTAAAGTAATATCCAAATCACTCAGGAATAGAGGGGATATGAATGAAAAAGGTCTAATAACAACAGACTTAAATATAATTAGATGCATATGACGTCGAAAGCGTAGCTGTCTACCTACCAGCTTGCATCTTTCCAGCAAGAGAGCATTGGGTGATATTCCTATCAAAATCCTGGTTGAGAATTCCAACTGATTAATAACTGATTGATGCAATAATTAATTAATTAATTTTGAGGGACAAAATTTTGCCTGTAGTCAGTAAAAAATTGAGTGCGTCACTTACATGTTTTACGCACAACGACGTAACACGTACTATGATCAGAAGCGGAAGAAATTGAAAGCGCAGCTGCTTTTCAATGGCAATTCCCACATACAACTATTCGTGCTTGACGCATATCCATGTTGCATACGCAATAAATTTCAGGCGTTTTTGTTTTCTGACAGCCGTAACTCGCTCCAAATGTGTGTACACAAAGAATGCCTGCATTGTGTATACAATTTCGTTGACCATGGCAAACCTTAAACTTCTGCCCATCCGCGCAGCATTTTACCAGCGTTGCAAAATAGTGCGATTTGCGGACACACTATCACTAAGCTGGACAATTATTTTCATAGCATTGGAATTATCCCTGTCCCTTATCAAACAACCACTATGTCCCTTCCGTTAAACCTGGCCCGACAACGACTCTTACTGATCAAGGTCATGGAATCAAATTTCCTACGGTCTCAATTACATCAATAAACAAAATTGAAACTGAAGGAGTTTCCACGGGGACTGTATAGGTGAAAATTGAACCTCTAAATTTTAATTAGGTCACACAATCCTCGTTTTGTTATTTCATTAATGCTTATTATAATACCCAGGCTCGTGAAAATATTGAAGAGAAAAATATTTAGAGCCTCATTCTTTCATGGATCTTCACTCCTCTGGGGCAAGGACGTATCTGCATTTTTGGTGGTACTTCTAAGAAAATTACGTTCCTCGTACAGAAATAGAATGTTTAGCCTTCAAATTTTAACCGAAATTTCTTCCAAGTTTATTAAAGCTCGAGTGTGATCAAGTTTTCTGGAAATTTTATATCAGTGCACCAATATGGCTAGGATGACAACCCTTATACGATAATCTGTTTGTGTCGACAATTCCAAGTCCTCGGTCGAGGGCAAGCTAGTCGGAATGATTATGAAGGTTTCTCTTTTGATCAGAGTGCAGTCTCGCCACGAGAAGAACCTGTTTGTTCAAGAGAAAAACTTTTTCTATTTTGGACTTTTGCTCCTCCGGAGGAAAAGCCACAGTGACAACCCCCTCCACCGCTCCCCACGTTTGCACCTCGCTAGGGTGGACTGTTACTCTGAAGCAGCAAGTCGATCTTAAAATATCTTTCTCGGATGACTCGCGGGTTGAGTGGGCAGTGTTTCTGGAAAGGAAACCAAAGGATATCAGTTCGTGCCAAATTTCCTTCGACGATATATTTTTTCACAAGAATACAACCCCACCGACTCTCTTATGAGTGTCAAGGAACTACGCACATAAATGGAATAAAACAATTCCCTTGTAATTTTCAAGAGAATCGGTGCAACCCTTCCTTTGGGAAAAAAATTGTCCGGTGAAATTTGGCAGCAGCTGTTACCGCTTCAGCTTTTTGAGAAGGACCCCTTAATGATACAAATAGATCAAGAATACTTGAATGTTTCTACGGAAAAAAGTGCGGGTAACTTGACATGAAATTCAAAACCTGCAATTTTAGCTCACCCACTTCCTTCCTCCTGATTCTCTAAACTAAAAGACCAATCGAACCTCTCTAGGATGCTATCGCAAGTTCCCATGAAAAATCTATTTGGAAAAGACGTGGTGGTGACGCTTTTAATGTCCTACAGCACGCAACCCATATCATATGACAAACTATGTAATGTCCAAAATTAAACGGTCAATTTATTTACTCTCTCCACGGCTGATGAATGATGACCCACTACAAAACGAAGTGACGTCACCCAAACCACTATTGTAAATGTTCGAAACAGTACTAAAGAAGTATAGAGGTGTACAACTTTTTGGCAGTGCATGAAACTCGTCGCAAAATCCTAACAATTTGCTCGTGAAATTCCAAATCAGGATCATGAAATACGACGAGCTGTGCGTAATGCTTCTAGCTCTCGTAAAATTTTTGCAAACATATTAATAATTCCGCACATTTTCGCCGATGCTGTTTTTTTCTTTGTGTTCTCCGTTATAAAAATTACGTACGTGCTGAGTACAATCCTAGCTTGAGCAAATGTTAACCCTCCATTAGTGGCGGGGCCGCACAAAGGATCGAGTCAATAGGAGAGGTTGGACAAAATTTGGAAACTTTAAACGCTCATATCTCAGTTTGTACAAAACTTTATGGTTCTAAAAGTTGTTCCACTGGTTCCCTTGTAAGGTTTTCTTTTTGCAAAACCCCTTAAAATTTAAAATGTGACGAAATTAACATCGAAAGTTGCAGTTTTTGTCAAAAATTTCACGTCCGACCTATTTAATTGATTCGATCCACCTTGTGCCGGTGTGAGTGCGGCGTTCACCTCGATTGTGATTTTGCTCGGATTTTTGTTTTGGTCTGTATAAAGGCCTTAAATTCGGTTTAGCTTCTTTTAAACTCCGGATATGTACTTTTAAGCTCTTAAAATTTCATTGACATACAGTTAGTGTAATGACTGCGAATATGTCAAAGTAAAACTGACGAGGCCAACGTGAAGGCTAATTCAATTTTAATCTTCCGCCGCATTGGAAAGGCGCAACAATACAACTATTCGTGCTCTCCGGAATGCGGAAGGTATCACGCTACAATTGAAGGCGTTTTCGAAACTGCCAAGTTTCGAAATTGGGATAGTTGTGTTTCATCTAGTTCGGAGCACAAAATAAAGGGCATGACTAATTTTACAAGCTCCAATGCAACAATTCCTCGCAAATCTCCTTGTTTTAATTTTTTATTTCCAGCTTTTGTTCCAGTTTAGAATAAGCGTGTAATTTGCTCGAAACGACCTGGATGTTTTTTTGTTCTACTTAAGCTATTTATACATATTTTTACTTTCTTTCTCCCCTTGCGGGTAGAGAAAGTGTTGTCATCTTCAAAAAAGAAAAAAAAAATTATGAAAGTTTTTCACTTTATTTCCTTGTATTTTAATGTTGATTTGAGTTCCTATTATTTATTTTTATTTCTTATAGGTTGATTATTTTTTACTTAATCCTCCTGTAAAAATTACCCTTTTCTAATTTCGATCCTAGCTTGAGCACACTTCAACTCTGTGGTTGCAACTCCAAAAATATCAAAGGAAAACCGACACGGCTGGCCTCAATTTTGATCTTCCGTTGCTTTAGAAAGGCGCAACGATACAACTATTCGCACTCTCCGTAATGCGGAAGGTATCACGCCCTAATTGAAGGCGTTTTCGAAACCGCTAAATTTCGATTTTGGGATTGTTGATTTACATAAAGTTCGGAGCACAAGATCAATGAAATGACGGCGGCTAGTCATTCCAAGATCGTAATATCATTTGTAAGCTCATTCGCAAGTTCATTCGTAAGATCATGGTCTTGCGAACCAATGCAACAGTTCGGCACCCATCGCTTTGTTTCATTTATTCATTTATACATAGTTTTTGTTCCGATTAAGAATGAAGGTGTAAGTTTTGCAAAACGCCATGAATGTTTCTTTGGTCTATTTAGGCTTCATACACATTTTTCACTGAGTTTTCTTGTAACTTATTTTTGATGTGAGTTCTTATTATTTCGTTCAATTTATTATTATTTGTTTACTGTTAATCCTCTTATGAAAATTACTCATTCAATGAAAAAAATCCTAGCTTCAGCATACATTA